GCCAAATTTGGAAATGTTACTCTTATCAGCTAGTCATGTAAGATTAATCGTGTAGTGACACCACCTTCATTATATTTATTTTTTTATTTTTGATATAGTCGACCTCAAACTCTTATAAAAAAGAGTACGATTGTGTTCTTGTTAGCCAATAGAAAATTTTTTGTCACACCTGTTATGAAAGGTAATCTTAAGAACATATGCGTGGAACCTTTATATTATTCCTCTAATTAGGCTCAAGTCAAAGGGTGTTTATAATTTTGCTGCATTTATCAAATCCAATCCCATTAAATAAAATATTGCCAACATTTTGGGAGCAAATGCATGGTGGTTGGGATGCAAAAGGATTTGGGAAAATTCTTTTGCAATTTTACAAAGTTAAGTACAAGAAGGAATTCGCAATAGCAATAATAAAATATGAATGCGAAATTTGGAAACCCTACTCTTAAATCAGTTGTGTCTCCAAAATTTATTCGAATAATTACATTTCCGACTTGACTATATTTGTATGTCGCTCTTTACCATTTGCCGTGTCAAACTAACCTTACAATGTCATAACATTTGATCAATTTTTTTTTGCCAGACTAACATTCTCAGCTTGGAAATGAGAATGCTATTGATCCATGTAAATCATTATTTTGATTAATGTTGTTCAAAACACAAGTGTACCATAGTTCCTCCACTCACTCATCAAGACTAGTTTTTGTCAAGAAACAAGATATGGTCGGGCTGAAAATGAAATTACATTAATTTGTTAGCTATCATCATTTGTTTGTTGGCTTGGCTAAGGTTAGGCTTGTGTAAAGTCTTTGTCAACTCCAGGAAATCAATGCAGTTTGATGTATGAGCTACCTTTTCTGGTGTGCAATTATATGCTATAACAATTTAAAGTGCAGTTGTTCTGACTTTCTAGCTTCACTTCAATATAAAGGAGAACATCATAAGGAGAAGACTAGGGCATTCAAAATTCGTATCGTATTACTAAAGTTTAAAATTTGGAAAATGTTAAATATACTTAAAAAATTCACTTAAAAAAGTTGATTTAATAAATCATTACCATTGAATAGATAGTAAGTCCTAATAAATACTGACACCTACAGTTAAATTAATGATAAATATGTGTAGCATTGCTCTTTAGAATTATTTAGGGTAACTCAAAAATACTTGTAAATGATTCTCTAAAGTTGTAAATAACCATCAAAGGTTATAAATGATCCCCAGAAGATATAAATAATCCTAAAATATTATAAATGATCCTCAAATTTTGTCAAAAACCCACAAAACTTATAAATAATGGTACGGTACTTAATTTTTTTTTTTTTTTTTAAGTATGGTAGACTTCTCCAAATCTTAGATATCACATTATCTTTGAACATAAGACACTTGTGCTTCACACTAGTATAGCCCACAAATTGTGATAACTACCACATATGCATATGAAAGCATATTATCAAATATGGTATTTCTTTCTTAGACTGAAACATCACGTGTCAGTAATAGAATGGTATCATTGTAATACAAATCATTTACACAACAACATAAGCTAGGACAAAAGAAAAAGCTTTGAATATTGCATAAGCATTTTTTTTAAAAGTATTGCATAAACATTACTATGAGTTCTATTAGCAAATATTGTCTCCGTTAATTGAGAGTGTTGGGTGGGACAAACAGATTGGAATCTCCTCTAGAACTAAGTATCCTTCAAGTCTCCCAAAGCTATATCACCCACCATTGCATGAATCATGAACCCCTCTTGTATACAATAAATTGTCATCTCTTTCTCTTTCTAGATTGTTTCCTTGGCAGGACAGCGAGTCAATATCTAATTCGTCAACCGACAAATTCATGTTATGTAACAAACGATGACAATACACTTCATACAAGAGGAAGTCCGAACAATCCTGTATCTACACCGTCATATCTGAAATACATTAGGCAAAAACCTAACATCTCATGAACCTCCTATTTTAATTCCACAAGTAAAGCTCTCTTTAATTAATCAATTGTCATATCGTTGATGTTCCTATCATCCAAAAAGGTAAAGAAAGTGTATGTAATTATTAATCAGTCCAAAATTTCTTGACGAAGAAAAGGACATAAAACAGACGGAGGGTAGCGAGAGAATTACGTTAGTGTTTCTAACTTGTCTTCTTTTTGGCGCTACAATTAATGCGGGCTAATGTCACTTTTCATCTTAAAAGATGTTTTTAACTTTTAATTTACATCTTTAAATATTAAAATTTTAATTTATATCATTAATATTATGAATTGGTAGTAATATGGACCTTATTTAGACCGTCTTTTATTTTTTCGTCATAAATTGAAGCACTTGAATTACAAGTGTTTCGATCATGGACTTATATATAAATTCATAAACTGCTGACGTCTCATGTAAGTTGCATATGATAGATTTAGTCTCTATTTGATTAACGAAATCTTATTTTTTGATACGTAAAATAATGTCAAATTGATCACACACGTCAGTCTAATACTTAAAGCACTTACAACTCATGTTCTTCAATTTATGACAAATAAACTTAACGACTGTGTGGGTGAGGTGCACATTGCTACAAATTCATAACATTAAATGTGTAAACTAAAATTTTAAAATGTTTAAGGGTACAAATTAAGAATCTAAGTATCTTTTAAAGTGTAAAATGAGATTAGCCCCAATTAATACAATTGGAGTCCAAAATAGGAAGCATGATGATGAACTTTACGTTAGGAGGTTGATTGATACATCTTCAATAGCATGCATTACTATGAAACTTACACTTTTAAGTGTAGGTTCTATAGTTCTTGTTGGTAAAAAAAATAAAATTAGACCTATGAGTGTGTGCGTGTGTCCCACAGCGTCCATGTATGGGCTCATCTTCCCTCCACTATGGCCCGCCTGTTGGGTGAGGCCTTTGGGTCTAAGTGGATTAAGGGATGGGGCTATCTCACGTCGAATAACTCTAGCGATGTGTCAGTGCTTATATAGATGTCATGACACTTACATTTTTAAGTGTACGTTATGTAGTTCTCATTGATCAAAAGGAAAAAAAAACCTACTTGGGGGAAGAATGATAGGTACACCAACTTGGTTATAATTGTAATCCATTTATACTTGTTGGATCCCTTTGTACAGTGCAGTCTCGTCTTCTTGGTGCTCAGGCTACCAGGAAATTTTGGAATTGGATCTAATCCAACCCAATCTGACATTAGCCTGGGCTGGTCATTGACCGAGAATTACTCATTGAATTGTGCTTCATTTGTAAAATAGTTTCGCGGATACTTCATTCTATATATTCATCAAAGACCATTACTCTTTAGTACTATACAGTTATTTGTAAAAATCTCCACTACACTTATATCAGACAAAAAAGGGCGTGCATTTTTAAACACAAAATTTAATAACTCACATTGCAGTTTGTTTTGTGGTGAAATATTTCATAAAAAAAAATTACCATATTTAACTTGGATTCAATCTGACATACTAAACGATGTCGTTTAGTTACTTGTGGGGGTTCTTTCTTTCTTTTTCTTTTTTTTTTTTTGGTCTCCATTTCTTGATTTATATGTAGGAATTTCCTTCTGTTCATTTTTGGTCAAAATTTATATAATTGAGTTGTATTGTTATTTACTTAATAAATCTATTTATGTGTAAAATAACTTAAACACCCTTGACTGTAATACCGGAAAAAAAAAAATTAATCCGCTTCAACCCAAAAAAAAAAGGAAAATTTCCAATCATTTTCCACTGGGCATGGGCCCCATGGCTGAAACATTATAATGATACCACTATTTGTGTATTACCATCTTATTATTATGGGAGAAATAACACTTTGCACCTTAAGAGATTTTAAAACTTTTAATTTACACTTTAAAATTTAAAATTTTCACAGTACATCCTCAATCAAATAAAAATGTAGCAATGAAGTCCAGAAGTAGATGTTTGTCGTCTTTTCTTACAATTTTTTTTAATTTTATTTGTTATATTATCCTTTTTCTATACATAATTACTTGCATAATATATACCTTAGTAATGCTACGCTGACCAAATTTTGGGATTAAATTAAGAGCCCAAATGACATAGTTGTTGACTTGGGTTTCTTTATTTGGTGTCATGTCATTTCGGCCTCAATAAAGACTCTAAATAATATGCTGTCATGTAATTTAGGCTCTTAATTTAGTCAGCGTATCATTACTGTATATACGCAATTTTAAGTGCTGTAATAGAAAATTGGTACTCAATTTCCTTAAAAATGGAGCACATTGCTACTTTTTGTTCGACCGATGAACAATATAAGAATTTCAAGGATACAAAAGTATCATTTATCCTTGTAGTACTGTCAATTTGTAATGCCCCAGAGTGGGGGACAGATATTGCACCACAATATGCCATTTTAGTGGTGACCACCACACAATTATTTGGTTGCGGTGGATGTTGAAGCGCCATTAGTAATCTAACAATATTGTACTATAAAAGCTTTGGTTTAGTGAGACCTTGTGTTAATATTTCTTTCAATAAATCATTTCTTGACTTATCGTGTCAAAAATGATCGTTTATCGGTACATGGTAAGTGACCTAGCATTTTAGGGAAAAAAAATTATGCAATGAGGAAAATCCAAGTCCTTGCAGACATGGAGTCGCCATGAGTGGATTAGAGATAAGTTTGCAAGGGGAAAAAAGCATCAATGGAGAAGAACCACAAATTAATAAAGATAAAAGGACAAAACAGTCAATTGCAAATGTACCAGTACTTGACCAAGGTTAGAAACTTGAGAGATGTTCCACTATTTGAACTTTACTTATAGGTGGGATCTCAACCACATGGTCTCATCATAGTACAAAAAAAGGAATGTGCTTTAAACATTGTAATATCACATGTGATATACAAGGGATATGTCTAAGTTGGGTCCCACATTAAACTATCTTTGGATCCCAGCATTAGCTGCTACACCTTAAATGATACGTTTCAAGGCTTCTTTGACATTCAGAGGTAGGGGAGAGAGAGAGAGAGAGAGAGAGAGAGAGAGGTTTGTCTATTTGTTGAAGGAAGTTTGAACAGAGTGATCAATTTGAACAGATTGGTCAATGACTCCACCTTGGTTGTTCACTACTTACTCTGTTTGCAGTGATGCAGCTGGGGTTGCAGGTACCCATCTCTCTCTCTCTCTCTCTCATGGATGTTTGTGTGTTGGGGTTGGGTGGATGGGTGCTGCATCCATAATATGCTTGAAATCTGGTTTCTTTTTACATTTTTGTTTTAGTATATGGATCTACATTTTGCATCATAAAAGTGTACATTTTTTTGTGTTTCCTCTCTGTTTGGTTCTTCCTTTTTCAGTTGACTCCAATCCACATTATTATTGAGTATCTATTTTTATCTTGTATCTGAATAATTTATCATCTGTGATTCATAAAGCTATATGTTAATTGAATAAGGTTTTCTCTCTTTTGTTCTTGGAATATTGAGAAGTGGAAAAAAGAACAAAAAGAGGACAACACTCACAGAGGGTAGTTAAATCAAAGGAATACTAATCATGCAATCTTTCCTGTTAATGGGGGTTGATAAAACGAAAGACGCCTTTCTTTACCCATATTAGGCCAGTGTTCTGTTTTTGGGATGGCTTTCCAATTGTTATGAACAAAAGCTACAAACAATAAACTAAATGAAATAGAAAAAATGCAGAACAGTCATCAATAGCACCAACCATTTGTGAAGTGCTGGCTCGTATTTATTCACTGAAGGTGGAATTGTATGCTAGATTAATACCTTCATTGGTCATGTTAAACACAATAGGACCATTGCATTTTTGTATCTTATCCAAACCACCATAAAAGGATTGCTAATTTTGTTTTCTCCAAATTATCAAATCTGTTGTGTTGTTAATTGCAGGGAACCTCTTGGCTATTGTGTTATTTGTGTCTCCACTGTAAGTTGCCTAAAATCTTTTGTGGACTACACCGAAAAAAAAAAAAATCTCTTCTCCTTTATAACACTTAGATTTTATTCTCTTTCAGACCCACATTCAGGAGAATTATCAGGAGCCGATCAACTGAACAGTTTTCAGGATTGCCAAACATATATTCCTTCTTGAACTGCTTAATATGCCTCTGGTATGGCATGCCAATTGTATCTCCTGGTATTATATTTGTTGCCACTGTCAATTCAATAGGGGCAATTTTCCAGCTGGTGTATGTTAGTATTTTCATTACATATGCAGAGAAAGCAAAAAAGGTAATTCTTATCATATAGAGTTGGCTGAACTAGTTATTGCAACAAGATCACCAATTCAACCATTAATTTTTTTTAATTTTTTTCAGGTGAAGATGTTGGGATTGCTGGTTGCTATTTTCGCCATATTTGGGATCATAGTGTTTGTGAGCATCAAACTGTTTGATCCTCCTACCCGACAGCTCTTTGTTGGATATTTGAGTGTTGCTTCTCTCATATCTATGTTTGCCTCTCCACTATTTATTATTGTAGGTTCATCAGAAAACTTTATCCCTATGTTGAGATCTTCCTCAGTGGCACAATTTTTTTCCCACTAATAACTTCTCAAAAACATTTCCATAACAGCATTTGGTAATCAAAACGAAGAGTGTGGAATACATGCCATTCTATCTTTCCCTTTCGACGTTTTTGATGAGTCTCTCTTTCTTTGCATATGGAGTCCTGAAGCACAATCCTTTCATTTCTGTAAGTAGTCGATGAATCATTCTTAATCATTCTTTACACTCATGCATATCCATTTTGGAGTTTTTTTTCTTATTCATTTTTTGTTGCCAAATTGGATAGTCTAAGATGGAGAAGGGAATTCATAAGCTATATATAACTGGATTTAATGCTTTCGATTTCAACTATTCAATCATTTTGTTCGTCTTCTTGGCAAATGGCAACCAAACACTGCAGCAATTATGTGTGGACAACTCTTAGAACCTCTGTTAGACCTTACATTGTATGAAGGGCTGTCCATGCTTGAAAATTTTTTCAGGCCAGGCCATGCCCCTTGGGGTTAGTGGTCCTGCGCCATTGCATGTCTCGTGGTCCATCACACGGGCTTCTGGAGGGCCATGATGCAGGCCTAGTCAACTGATGAACAGATAGTATCAGAATTCAGTGTGTACATGTATGAAAGTTATCCTAAAGCAAAATTATGAAGCTCAGGCTTTCATTTGAGAAAGCACAAGGCAGAAGCAACACGAAAGACTGTTTCCCCTGCTAAATTGTTCTTGTTCATTTGGTCACTAACTAAAGAGAGCAATATATGTGATGCTGCTGTCTAAGGTTCAGATAATTTCATCTTTAATTAATGGCGGGGCGGGGCGGTGCTGTGGGCCACACAGCCAGTGACAACGCCATGGCCCATCCGTGGCCTGTGTGCGCCGTTTTTCCTAGGCCGGGCATTCTTTTTGTTCATTTTTTCAGCAATTTGAAAGAGCATACACTAACAACTTGTGCATTCTAGGTTTTTGCTAGGCAAATTCGTCGACGTAAACCTTGCAGGATTTCCACATTGGCACTGTGCACATATACCCTTTTTGCTGTTTCGTATTATGACCTTGTTGCTCATCATATTTGTATGAAAATCAGGTCCCAAATGGAGTTGGAGCAATTCTGGGGATTGTGCAGTTGGTATTGTACTTGTATTACAGCAATTTATCGGAGGAAGACTCAACAGAACCCTTATTATAATCTTATGTATAATTTGATAGATTGGTGATGCTTGTGAGGTTGATTTACCGTTGTCTTTATTTTTTGATGCCATTTGCTTAAATCAGTGATTTCTCTTTTTTGTGCTAATCAATTAAAAAAAAAACACCAAAAAACGATAAAATACAACACGAGACAGCAATTTTTGTTTACGTGAAAGTCCTTCGGTGTGAAGGGAGAAAACCACGGGACCAAACTCAGTTGGTCCAATTCTTCCACTATCAACCAAATTGGCCAGGATTATTACTGTTTACATCTGATGTTCAAGAGAATATAATAACTCTTGATTCCCTATGACAGTCTCTCCCCCTCTTTCTTTATATACAACCCAAGCACTGTACTCCTGCACTATATACAAACTGAGCCGAGCCATTTGAAACGGATCCCAGAGTAATCCACTTCAATGCCTTCTAAAACCAGCCCAGACCACTCATGTGATTGGGCAGCGAATGAGCAATTAACTGCTCAAAATCTTTTAAGACCGTAAAAAAATCATCAATCTCAACAGTTTTTCCATCTCCTGTAATGCGATTCTGGCAGCTTCCCTTTCCCTCTCTCGCTGCTGCAACTTCAAGTCTCTTTCAACAGTATTGATTTGGGCTTCAATCCTGACCATCTCTTCACGCTGCTTCCTTTGTAGTCTTTCTTTCAATCATGAGAGAGTAATGTCGGTTTCGCTTTCAGGATAGTGTCAGCGAACCGGCTCTTTAACTTTGCCACGCGTAATACTGTCGTCGGAGACCGTTGCTGATCATCTGTAATTAGGGTCCGACTTTCTGCACAATCAGCACTTTGGGCTTCATCCATTGAAGTCTGGATATGATTTTCTCTTGCGGTTGATGGCATATTTTCCACTCTCCCACATGAGAGTAATTTCACATTCAAGCTATCAGACGATTTTGAGTCTCCATTCGAAGATGTAGTGTGACTACAATCATCATTCATGAACTACCGCGGGAAAAAATCCCTGTCTAACTCCAACTTTTTGGGAGGAATGAATATAAACGTTGTTGGTAACCGCCATTGTAACTCAAAATAATCAAGCACTCAAAAATAATCTCACACAAAAGTTGATCAAATGAAAGAAGAAATCAAGAAAATACCAAAGAGGAAGATGAACTTGCGGCATTAATTCTTCAAAACAAGGCTACTGTGATTCTCGTTAAACTAAACTTTAGCATACTTAAACAATTTAAACAAGTCTACTTCTAATAAACTAATAATTCCTAATTATACTAATATTAGGAAACTAGAGTGGTAGCAAATGTGTTTAACCAAGTCACCTTTTTCAGTTGAAATGGAGTATTTCTCTTTTATAAAAAACCTTTGAAAACAAATTCAGTGATGGAATTTAACTTTGATATCAAAGAGGCTACGGGTACTTACCCCCCCCCCCCCCCCAAAAAAAAAAAAAAAAAAAGAGGCTACGTGGTGGAGTTTATAATCCTTGCGGGTTGTTATAAAAATTTTTGGTTTTTTTTTTAACAAAAAACGAAAAAAAAAAAATCAAATTCTTCAAAAATTATAAGTTGGGAAAATTTTAATCAACTAGTATTAAATTTTAATTGGCCCAATTTTTAATACATTAAAAAATTTAATTGACTTAAAAAATAAATTTTAATCCACTTGAATCAAATAATAAAATAAAAAAATAAAAAATTTAATCAATTGAAAGCCAATTTTATTCAAGGCTAATAGTTCAAGTAGAGCTCAAATTACTTCGAATTTTAATACGTAATAAAAGACTTTTAATAGTCTCAAATTTTAATATGTTAAAAAATTAATATTTAAGCAAATCGAATTAAATTTTAATCAACTCAAATTTTAATATGTTAAAAAAAATTAATCAACTTGAATTAAATATGTAAAAAAAAAAAATTTAATCAGCTCAAATTTTATGTATAAAGATTGTTTGAGATTTATGTAGGAGCAATTTTGATAATTGAGATAATTTATTTTTGTTATAAATGGTGGTTTAATGGTAAGGGGTGTAAGTGATATTTAAATATAAATTAAAAAGAGTGTAAGTGATATTTTTGATAATATAGGGAGTGACTTTAAAGATATGGTAAACTATAAAAAGTGTGACTACAATTTTATCTTACAACTTTTAAGATTAAAGTTATAATTTTTTAGGGTCAAATCATAATTTTTGAAATACTTGAAATCAATCCTAAATGTTAAAACCAATTATTTTAATTCAAATCAACTATAAAATCCCAAAAAAATAGTTTATCAGATTTATCTAAATAAAAAAATATTTTATCACCCTTGGACAAAAAAATTTGAATGTGATCCAAATTGACCCGTGTTGGGGTATCCCCTAATGCTATCGTCCATTCACATTTGTTTATAATTAATTAAAATTTTGTTTCATTTAAAACTATTAATCTAAAAAGTTAAGCATATGAACCAAGATCACTTCATATATTTTTTAGTAATTAGGATCACTCCACAAATTTTATATTATTTTTATAAAAAAATCCCAATCTTATCAGCTGGCATATGGGTCCACAACTGAAAGTCGGTCAATTTCAAAAGATGCCACACTTGTTTGTAAAATACAAACTTACCCATGAACTTTTATTGGATTGCACTGGGGCAGTGTCTTAAATTTTTTGGAATTTTAAATATACCCTACATATTTTAAAAAATTGCAATTCACCCCTGTATGGACCTATTTCGTACCTAAACGAACATTGATATACTTACTAAATAGTTTACCAAATTTTTTTTACCAAATCATATAGATTGTTGGATCACTTTGTCCCATTCACTATCTTTAGGAAGATCTACTGATCCAGCCATTCATATTTAATAAACACATCATTAATCAAAAGAAATGGTTCAAAGGAGGGGTTACAAAGATAAGAGAACTAACGGCCTTTGGTTTACTGATACTTTTTGTCACGTGAAAGATTTGTTTTTTTGAGATCAAAGGTTCAAGTCCTCTCTCCCTTCCAAAAAAAAAAGAGTGAGAGAAAGAGCGGTACTTATGTGAACATTTGACATCTTTTTTTTTTAAGTGGACACAAATATTTATTTTTTTAAGGGCTGAAAATCAGACATTGTGATTTGTGGATCCTGCATCTAAGGCTTTTAATCATGCTAACCTTTGCAAGCTTAAGTTGAGTTTGTCAAGCTAATTTTTGTAAATAAGTACAAAAAATTATTCAAACTCGGCTTGTTTAAAAAATAAGTTCAGTCCAAAATATGTCAAATTCAAGCCGAGTCTGAGTAGTTTGACTATTTTACATATAAACGAGCCAAGATTTATGAGCTCGATCCAAGTCTTTTTAAGTTCATTTTCTAAAGAAATTTAAAAAATTATTCGAACTCGACTTGTTAAATCACGAGCTAAGGTCGAGTAACTCAACTCAATTATTAGCCTTATCTACATCTAATGACTTGGATTACGGATACTATAAGTGGTAGATCTAATGACTTCAATTAAAGATACAGTAAGTGGTTTATTTCATAATATACCTCCATTCATAAATCCCATTATAAGGAGTCCTTTTATTACTATTATTATTGTATTCTCATCTATTGGACCATTGAATTTCAATGTTCATTCAGACTTGGATTTGGTGAGTCTTTCGATTTGTTGTGCAGAAAATATTTTATTGGTGGAATGCTTGGAACCAATTGACACATGGCATCAAGCGAGTTCGGTGGCATGATTATGGTTATAAGATGTGATTGGCGCTGAGAGGCATGTGTTAGAATCGGGTGTATAGAGAAGCGCCTAGCATGTAACTAAGACAAACTAAGTATGAAGTCATGTGTGACTTGAAAGATTGAATCGTTGGGTTTTGTATGATTTTATGAAAAGATTTGTGTTAAATGCTCATTTTATTTATTTATTATGTAGTTGATTGTTGGATTATCATTCTATTTATTGTGTTTCAAATTATCGGGCCTCCCAAGCTCACCTCATTTACCCCTCTCAGATGCAAGACTAGTTCGTGAGGGGAATTAATAGACAATTGAATTAAGCGAGAAATTATAGATAACAATTATTTATTAAGAAAATATGTAATATTTGATGCAATTGTGATTGCAAAGGCAAGTTGATGGACTTCTAAAGAGGGACCCTAAGAAAGATGAATCTTGCAATATGTTTGATAGTCAAGTCATTAACGAAATTATGATCAAGGATAGGTTTTCCAACAGAGGCTTGATGAAAAAAAAAAAAAAAGAGACTTGATGAAATACTTGATCAAATGACTTTTCATGATGGATTATATATATATATATATTAGTGTTATCTAACCTTTAAGTTAAAGTAAGACATTATGACTCTAAATAGAATAAAACATTAACTAATATTAAACTCACTTTTTAATATTTTATTTTATTGTTTTTTCGTCATTACTTCTATATTAAAATTTCAGTTGCTAAAAATCAAAAACTCCAACGACTAGTATTCCAACAACCATTTTTTTAAGTTATTATCTGATTAAATATAAGAGTAATTATGGAGTATTAAACACCTATATTATCTATGTGTGTGTGTGTGTGTGTATATATATATAAATTATACAATATTATATCTATTATCTGTCTACTGTATAAGTTTCAGGACAATATTCAAAGATGTCGTGTGAAGTTTCTGTTTCATTCGATTGTACAGATCTAAGTAAAGCAACAGTCAATAAGTTGAGTTGTTGTATCTTGGGGATAACGCGTTGTTACCTTCTACATTATGTTTCTTTCATAAAAGGGCGTGAATCGTCTTAAAAGAACTACCTAGTCTGCGCCTCATCCTACCGTTCACTTTATTTTTTGCATCTCATTTTTCCAAACCTATACCTCGATGCTCATCAAACAATGATAGATCTAAACGCAAGGTCGACAATTGTGTTGTGCTGAGTCGGGTTTGTGTCACACTTGTCAATCATAATCCAAACTACTTAATTAATTGTGCTAGAGGTTTCAAACTCATTTGATTTGCTCTATGATCGTGTTGTGTTTGAATGTAGAAGTTATTTGTTATGAATATGTTTATAATTGGCTTATTTCATGAACTCTTTACGTAAATCTCAACTTGATTTCTTAATGATGATGCTTCAAAGATTAAGATCTGTAAGCGCTAAAAAAGAAAGAAGTTCAATCTACATAGATGTATCAAGAGTTCTCTGAATGCACTTTCTAAGCTTAGGACAAATTTAATGACATTAGAGACCTAAGAACTCTTGATACAACTTTGTATTAAATAGAATAATGGATGGAGTATTTTTTGGGTTATATGCAAATAATCTCATACAAAATGTGTCCAGTTACCTATGAATCATCGTATCAAGTGATGTTTAGCAATGCTGTTGGGACTAGTTTATTTCAAAGATTAGAGTGGTATAAAGAGGTGGTATTAGAGAAATAGTACGTGAGACTCATCTTATATCTTATTTGTTTAGCATTTTATAGTCAGTATTATTTTTTAGGTCGTAATACGATCTGTTATGAACAGTAATCATAATTTGTATGTATATAAAGGTATCAGCGTTAAGTGGTTGTTGTTGGTTTCTCCTCTTCATTTGTAACAGATATTATATCTTGAATTAGGGTGTTACAGATAATATTTGTGACAAACAAACAAGGGGAAGAATGAGATTATAGTTTAAAACACTTGAAATAATTGTGAGTAAAAGGAGGTTCTCAAATTAAGAGTAGAACCTCGTATATATATCCAAAAATAATACATAGTGACTTAAACATCCTTGTAGTTTAGGCAAAATATAAAAATCATAATAAGGGTAAAAAAGGGAAAAGAAATCCTAATAAACCTAGACTATCTATACTCCAACACTCCCCCTCAAGCTAGGCGCAAAAATGTCAACTAAGCCAAGCTTGACAACGGAGTCCCGAAGAATAGACAGAGTGACAGGTTTGGTAAAAACATCCGCAACTTGATCACTGGTCCCCACAAACGATGGAGTAACAAGACCACTGCTGACCTTCTCCCGAAGAAAGTGAACATCGATTTCTATATGCTTCGTTCTCTCATGTAGTACAGAGTCAGAA